GCCTGAGCCCCGAACGTTCCTCTTGCCAAGACACGTCTGCTTAGAGAAACGATCAGAGCGCGGAGCCTTACTGACTCGTCAGTGATGACAGTTTCTGCTAACCACCCCCTTCCAAGGCTTACCTATATTACACTGTGTTTTCTCATCCAGTAGCTTCGAGTACGTGTTAATAAAATCAAGGTAATTCTTGGGAGTCACGTAGTTGCTGCGCCTCAGTTTCTGTAGAAATTGTGTGCTGAATTCACCCACGGATTCGTGGACCAAAACCATGTGCTCTACCAGATCTTCTATATTGTCTACCGGGATCATTGAATTAGTCCCTAAAGAGGGAGGAATGAAAAGGGTACCTCTTAAAGAAAGGAAAAGAGCAGTTCCTCAGAAAGATACAGAATCCTCACAGGACCCAGCAATTCCACTTTAGATGTGTGCTCAAAAGAACAGAAAACAGAGGCAAGCAGATTCCCGTGCGCCAGTGCTCACAGCGGCATCCATCTCAGTAGCCACAGTGCAGCGACCCATGCGTCCATCAACAGGTGATGGACAGACAGAACGTGGTCCATCCATACAGTGGAACGGGATGCAGCCTTATAGAGGAAGGAAGGCCTGACACATGGATAACCCTCAAAAACACGCTAAGTAAAAGAAGCCAGACACAAAAGGACAAGTGCTGCATGATTTGACTTAGACGAAATATCCACGACAGGCAAATTCATAGAGACAGAAAGCAGACTAGTGGTTGCCAGGAAAGGGGGATGGGGTGGGGAGCGGGGAATCAGGGCTTAATGGGCGCAGAGTTTCAGTCCTGCAGTGTAAACTGTCCTGGAGAGGCATGGCGGTGGCGGTGGTGGCTACAGCGTGCGGATGCAATTAATGCCACTAACGACGCACTTAAAAACAGTTAAAATGGAAAATTTTATGTTATATATATTTTACCACAATAAAAACGATATAAAAATGTTTTAATAAAAAGAAAGGAAAAGAGCAGTTATCCCTCGCTGGCAGTTTTTCAGATCGATGCTTTGGTATTTTCTCTGAGAACACAGCAGCCCCTTCCGACTGGTAGGAAGGTCTGTCTCCAGAAAAGGCTAAGGCACTGTGGGGGGAGGGGCTTGGGATTCAGGAGAGAAATTCACCCAGTGTCCCCACTGCATCCCCTGCACCCAGCACATACTGGGCGCGAGGTGGATCCTCCTAAAAATCTGTCGAAACAATCAGTGATCACTCCCAGGGCCAAGACTGCATCACTCAGGTTCTCTAACAGGTGGTAAAATACTTTCCCCTGAAGGCAGAAGGCGTCTCAAATTTAAGCGAAGGAGGGGCAGATGGATAAGTATCCGCTCATCCAGATTCTGCATATTTGACCTTGACTTATACCAGGGGCCAGCAAACCAGAGCCCACGGTCCAACTGTACAGCGTGCGTAAAAAACTCTGCCTCGCACATATCCATACTTTGGGGCTCAGTCATTGTAATTCCAGGGAATATGGTCTAAGGCAGTGGTTCTCAACCTGTGGGTCGTGACCCCTTTGGGGGTTGAATGCCTTTCACAGGGGTCGGCTAAGACCATCGGAAAACAAAAAGAGATTTACATTACGATTCATAACAGTAGCAAAATTACAGTTATAGAATAGCAACAAAAATAATTTTATGGTTGGGGGTCACCACAACATGAGGAACTGTATTAAGGGGTCACAGCATTAGGAAGGTTG